GTGTTTGGGGTTTTTGGGGGGCCGCCCGCGGCGGCGGGGGAGGGGGGGAACAAAAAACACCCCCACCCCAAGTTGGGTCCCTTCCGGAAAAGGGTTGGCCACCCCCTTCCCCCAATTTGGGGGTAAACCCCACCCTGGCCAATTTTCCCGGACTTTGGGCCGGTTGGGGGGGGGAATCAATTGGTTCAGGGTTTTTTTTTTTTGGGTTAGCAAAGGTTTTGGGGAATTTTTTTGGGGTCCCGGGCCCTTTTGGCAAAGCGGTTGGAACACCGGTTTTTAAAAAAGAAACTTCCTTAGGGGACCCGGGGTTTCGGGGGGGGGGGGGGGGCAGTGAAGGCCGCGTTGAAAAGAAGGTCGCGTCAGACACGCAGGCAGACCGGCAGACAGGCATGAAGACAGACATGTCAGAACACGTTTCCCTGCTTTTGACTGAGGAGAATGCTCGTCAGATCCGCTCCTCCCCCCATCTCTGTCTCTCCCTGCCATGTGTGGCAGGCCGGCGTGTGCGAAACGCGGTGAGCAGCGGATGCACTTGACACACACACACACACACTTGTGGAGAGTCCGTTTCCTTTGTTCGCAATTTTGACCGTGGCCTGTATCTCGATCATGTGCGATTCCACCACGTGCAGACCATGAAGCCAAATGTACGAAAAGATCACCCAGTTGGGACCCGCAGTTGCTCAATTTTGCTGTGCTTCCAATATTCCTACTCTATGTGTGTGTTTGTGTTTCTTTGTTTCGTGTTTGCCAAGGCAACACCAGCGTGTGCGTCGCCGACGGCCCATGTTTTTTGTTGGCATGTCTACTTGCCGGGGAAGGGGAACCACACACGAATGCCTTCGTCTGCACCCTACCAGCCGGTAAAACTGGAAGCATCTCCTTAATATGTAACCAACCACGCCAGGAACACGAGCAAGAGACTATCCCCCCCAAAAAAACAACACGCCTGAAAAACGCGAACGTTCGAGAAGTGTCAGGAGTTGCTCCTAATGACGGGGGTGGGCACGTAGAACAGGTACCCTGGAAGGTAACGGACGAGTAGCCCCCCCCCCCCCATCGGGGTTGGGTTTTCGTCCCTTGGCAACGACGTTGTAAAACAAGCCGCCCCCCCCCGGTGTTTGCCATCGGGGTTTGGGTTTTCGTCGCTTGGCAACGAACGTTGTAAAACAAGCCAATTCACCTCGTGAACTCGGCAACCAGGTTACCGTCTTTTTTTTTTACCTCTGTTTTTTTTTTTTGGCGGTAACCATAATGGTGGTCGAGTAGATCATGTTGTGCGGGGTCGAGAAACCTCACTCCGCGTCAACGGGGGATGATCGCACCACGTTGTGTTAAAATGGTCAAGCTTCCTCGAGGCAGTTACACAGTGCTTACAACTGTCTCTGGAAGTGAAAGCACCAGAAAATAAATTAAGTCATACGTAGCTGTCATCCGTACGCAAGGAAGTAAGCACAAGATGCCGAACACCCTTAGCAGGATGCAGCTCACCCTTCATGCGACTCGCCAAATACCTCACGGCGCTTCGCGCTTGGTGATGTGAGAGCCTGGTCCGGTGAGAACCCGGCGTGCTCCGTCCCGGCTTTGTAGGGATGCGAGGTCAATGGTCAAACGACTACGGCATGCACGACTATGAGTACACCCCCACCCCCCCCCCCCCGC